TGATCCAATATCTGCAGGAGACAGTTTCTCTCTTTCTCTCTCTTTCTCTGTCTCTCTCTCTGTCTCTCTCTCTGTCTCTCTGTCTCTCTGTCTCTCTCTCTCTCTCTCTGTCTCTCTCTCTGTCTCTCTGTCTCTCTGTCTGTGTGTGTGTGTGTGTGTGTGTGTGTGTGTGTGTGAGAGAGAGAGAGAGAGAGAGAGAGAGTGTGTGTGTGTGTGTGTGTGTGTGTGTCTTCCTCCCTCCCTCCCTCTCTGTCTCTCTGTCCCTCTCTGTCTCTCTGTCCCTCTCTGTCCCTCTCTCCCTCTCTGTCTCTCTCCCTCCCTCCCTCCCTCCATCCCTCACCCCTGTTCGTATCTCTCTCTCTCTCTCTCTCTCTCTCTCTCTCTCTCTATCTCTCTCGTTCTCGCCCCAACAACAACAACAACAACAACAACAACAACAACAACAACAATAGCGTAAACTCCTGGTCTAAATCACAGTCTTCCCAACCTCAAAACAACAGGGAAATAAAATAGAGCGCCAACAGTATGAGATAGGTCTTCTACAAGGACCTTATTTTATTATAAAATCCTTGGTCGACAACCGCCTCTGGCCGTGAGGTCACGACTGGTGGGTACACCCACAGCCCAGCTACAGCTATACTATAGGTGAGGCAGCGTGGAGGAATCAGGCTCTCGTCAAAATAATCAAAGTGAAGAAACCTGCATTTTTCCGCAGGTTTGTGAATTTTTCTTTTTCTTTTTTTTTTTTTGGGGGGGGGGGCTCAACACCTTTCATGCCCATTAAAGAACTCATTTCTGTATGAAGTTTCTGAAAAACGTTGATTAAAGGCACAAAAATGTAAATTTTCAGTTACTACAGGCCCTTAAGCTAAGGAAATAACTAATCTTTGGCAGCCATTTTCTCACTAATTTTACCTCTGAAAAAAGATGACCCCCACCTCCTTCAATCGCAAATATCTCGACTTGTATTCAAGATAAATGGTACTTTTTTTTTTTCCAAATAAAGACAAATGAACAAGCTTTAAGATGATACCAATAACTCTACAAGCCCAAAAGTTAACGAGAGCCTGATTCCATCACGCTACCTCACAATTATTATTCCTGGGCTATACAGCCACCAGAGCTGATTTACAACCTCAATAGCCCTATACCTTCTGTAGTATAGGTGGCAAGTAGCGGACGACCACACCCTCATCTGGCTGGTCGGAACCGGGTGAGGGTGCCTGGAGTGGCTCATCATGGACCCATAATGTTTTCCACATCATACCTGGGCCTGGCGCCGGTGTTGTGAGTGTAAACACAGAGAGAGACACGCAGGATAATAATGGTGAAGCGGGGGAGAAAGAGCATTTCGATGGTGTTACTTTCTTCTCCAAGTGCTCCCGCGACTCGACGGTTCCTACACGGAGTACCATCGTTCAATAATCGACCTTTCCTTCAAGAATACCACCGTTCAGTGACTCGATCGTTCCTACAATGAGAAGCATCGTTAAATGACTCGACCGTTCCTGCAATCGATAAATGACTTGACCGTTCCTGCAATCGATAAATGACTTGACCGTTCCTACAATCGTTAAGTGACTTGACCGTTCCTACAATCGATAAATGACTTGACCGTTCCTACAATCGTTAAGTGACTTGACCGTTCCTACAATCGTTAAATGACTTGACCGTTCCTACAATCGTTAAATGACTTGACCGTTTCTAAAAGGAGAAGCATCCATTATAGCGCAAGTAAGGCCATACGGTATGGTGGCTATAAGACAAAGCGGCCGAGATAAGTGCCCCGTTTATCTTAATGGTCCAAAAACGGCTTGTTGGCCCCGTATACAATGTATAGTTCATCACTCTATACTCTTTTCTCAGTAAAGTCTTGCACCAAGAAATGGCATCATTCGATCACTTGACTGTGGACGACAGGACTTGATTGCTCATAACTCACAAATCCAAGCGTTAACAAAACAATTCCCGTTACTGTACAGTTGTAGGGATATTTCCTCCGTCAGTCTCTGTCTCAGACGATAACCATTGTATATGCAGAGAAGAATACTTCTCAATTGAACAAAAGAAATAAGGATTTAGATTACGTGTGGCTTCCGCTATGACCAATGAGATCAATTCTGGCAGAGAACAGTTTGCCACATTTTGAGCATTTGAAAGCTTCTACATGTATTTCCACTTACTACTACTCTCTTGGCTTCAGCATAATTTCTAACTCGTGAAACTTCAGTGGTCGTTGCCCTCCAACTTGCTTTGTCTAGGACTAGTTGCCCGAGCCAACGGATTTATGTCTGCAGTGTGCAAAGGTTTGTTAAAGTGGGGCAAAGCGGGGCAAACACCTCACTCGCTCTCTCACCTAGGTACGATATGTCTGATGGCAAGATAATGACAAGACAATCGGATGAGGATCAAGGTACTACAGGTTGTCAGAATGCCATCCATGTTGACGGACAGGGTGCCCAAAGGTACCACCAAAGCCTCACATCACAAGCCACTAAATTGTTATCTATGTTCATGGTAGGAGGAATAGATACAGCGGTGATTTCCGTCTACAGCTCTCTTGATGGTTGAGACAGGAAGTGTTGGCTTTAATGTAGGTGTTTTACGCCCCCATGGACACAGTTTGATAATTTAGAAAGCGGGCTCCGGTCCTTCCTGTCAGGGCCATGAAGGGCAGAGAAGGATACATTTCAGCAAGAAAATCAAGATACTCGATAAAAGATGTTCTCCCCACTCGGGAATCGAACTCGGGTCTCCTGCGCGAGACAGCAATGCGCGTAACTACTACACCACAGAGGCCGGCAGCGCCGGCCTATAACTATAAAGTCATGTTCATCACGTGTACTCATCTCTACTCTACAGTGTTTTCTTTCCACTTTTCCCACACTGAGCGGTAGGCTATCATTCAATAACTTGACTGTGAACAACATGGCTTAATTTCCTCCAAGGTAAACTCTTACAAATCCCTCATCACTAACGTGTTGTTTACAGTCTAGTGAGTAGTTAAAGCGGTCGAGATAAGCTGAGGCCGTCCCACTTCAGCTTTTCTTGTGGAAACAACAGGGAGTGCCAGTCAATATAATACGTGTTCATCACTTGGACTCATCCCTCTTCTTTCTTCTCTAATGTATCCTATCACCAAGCCAGGTAAATGTTGGGAGCTTTTGGCGCTGCTCGTTCACAACTGGTGAAGTCCCGTGTGGGGACCCGCCTGTTGTGCCGAGGTTCCTGTTGTGATGACGGGAAGGAGGTGGATGCTTACGTTGTTGTTGTTGTTGTTGTTGCTGTCGTTGTTGTTGTCTGTGAGTGCGTGTTAGTGTGTGTGAGTCTGTGTGTGTGTGTGTGTTTTTGTGGGTGTGTGTGCCTGTGGGTGTGTGTATGTGCGTGTGTGTGTGTTTTTGTGTGTGTGTGTGTGTGTGTGTGTGTGTGTGTGTGTGTGTGTGTGTGTGTGTGTCTCCAAAGGGTTAAGGGGGCAAACGAGTCGGTTGTTGCGGAAGTTGTTGTTTTTGATGCTGTTCTAATGTTGTTGTTATTAGCTTAAAAGAAATCCAAGACAGTTTCTATCCAGACTCGTGCTGCCCCCCACCCCTCAACGTCCCCCCGGCCACGTATGAGGCCTGTACTCTAAAGTATACTCAAGTGATGTACTCTAAAGTATACTCAAGTGATGTACTCTAAAGTATACTCAAGTGATGTACTCTAAAGTATACTCAAGTGATGTACTCTAAAGTATACTCAAGTGATGTACTCTAAATTATACTCAAGTGATGTACTCTAAAGTATACTCAAGTGATGTACTCTAAAGTATACTCAAGTGATGTACTCTAAAGTATACTCAAGTGATGTACTCTAAAGTATACTCAAGTGATGTACTCTAAAGTATACTCAAGTGATGTACTCTAAAGTATACTCAAGTGATGTACTCTAAAGTATACTCAAGTGATGTACTCTAAAGTATACTCAAGTGATGTCCAACGTGATGAGAAAGCAAGAAAAAGACATCACTTCAGTGCGATGAGACATTCGCACTGGGCTTCCTCTCAAGACTGGTAACACAACGAACATAAGTACAAACTAGACTAGTGGTCGTCAACCTTTTCTACAGCAAGTGCCACTTTTGCCCTTTTTACAGGCTAACATTGTCGCACCGACCACGTACATGTATATATGTCCAAGCTGAGCATTTAATTATACCTGTCAATACCTAGATTATCTCCAGTACCCACTACAATTACACGGAGGGCCAATATCGGCCATGTGCTAGACAATGTAGGCTACTGACCGATGATAAATACTTAAAATACACATGTGGACAAAAGTTACAGAGAAGGAGTGCATTGAGTGAAGGAGAAACACTCACAATACAACTTGAAAATCATTATTTGAGTCAAAACTGAGGAAATAGATGGCTGGTACCGTGCTGATTTGTAAACTACAACAGCAGTAACAAACAATAATAATATAACAAGCTGGGTTATAACAAAAAAATCGGTTGTGCTGTTCTCAGAGTCCAAACCAAATGCCAATACAATAATAGCACTGAAAAAAAGTAGAAAGGAATACAAGCCTACACTCAGTAAAAGTCATTCTGCAGAGGGAAAATTTTAAGAGTCTCGACAGAAAAAAAGTCTAAGACGGACTGAAAAAAACCCCCAAAAATCAGCCGGCACCCCCCACCCCCCCCCCCCCCCCCCCACCCCCAATGAGCACACAAGAGAAACAAAACCAAAAAAAACTAAAAGCAACAAACGTGGAATCTGAAGTGGCAAACCACACAGCCCCATTATCTCTGGATCAGCATTTCTCCCATATTCTTGGGCAAAGGGAAACACATTGAGACGATAAGGGCCATTTTGTGATGGGAAAAAGCAAGATAGGCAGACAGAAGCAGAAGTATTGAGGGGAAGCAAAGTGGTATAAGGTCTACCAGTAGCACCCTCCAACCACCCGCTTGTTTCCATTGACAGGTAGAATGAGTGAACAGAAAATGTCTTACTCACCCCTTGTGGCTCTGCTCCTGTACTTGACTCGCTGGGCCTGAACAGCAGAAAGAAAATTGTCCATCAGATGTTGCAACTAAAGCGCAATAAATGTTTTTCTTATTTTTTTGTCTAAAGGCACAAGCTTAATTCTTAACTTTACTCTTATTGTTTAGTTAGCATTTTATGGCACTTGCAACACAATATGATTATGATCATAAAATTATAAGTGCCGAAGATTAGAGGTGTTACGAGAGAGTAACAAACATTAAAAAAAGAAGGAGAGATAAAGAGGATAGCCGTTTGATAGGAAAGAAGGAGCATACCACACAAGAGCAACCATCAACCACACACCAACACTTTACTCAACACAAATAAGGAATGTCAAAGGATGGGTCCCAGAATAGTATTGGGTATTTTGATCTTCACATACACTTGGATCCCAGCACACACACACACACACACACACACACACACACACACACACACACACACACACACACACACACACTTACACACACACATAAAGAGAGACATGAACATAAAGGACAGTCCTAACGGCTTTAACAGCCACCTATATAAGCCAATCATCTGTACGAGCAGCCACTTTCCACTTCATCCCTTGCATATTTTTTTTTACTTACAATATTAATGACACTGTGTAAGATGTCAAACTGTCTAAGACATTTGGTGGCTATCTCAGATCATTTCAACTGTATATTATTTATCAAGCACAAAACTAAAAATAGTGGCATACAAGAATAATTCCAGCAGAAGGAAAGTGCACCTCATGCCATTTCAAAAGATAACTAAGTGTAATTTATCATGCTCAGATCTATTTGAACAAATGAAATAAAATTTCCAAACCCTTTTATGAACAGCTCAGTCAACAAACTGCTACGTATAATATAGCACTCCAAACCTTTATTTCACCAGCAAACTTTTCAAAGAGTCAAAAACCCACTCACTGAATCGGGGTGAAACGATCGCCAGAACCATTGAAGAGTTCAACGTTAGACTGTGGGGAAAGGTCCCAGTCCTCTAGAGAAGGATTTCCCAGATGGCCGGTGTCCACTCTGAGTGCCTTCACATACACAGGGGGAGCTCTCCCAGGTAATACAAATCTGTGCAGATGGGATTGGGGGGGGACGGCAATTCAACAAGAGAAATTTAACTTTTAAGTCTCAAAGCCTGAGTACAAGAAGTCAAGACTCTACAGCAACAAGAATATTTCTTGTATTTCATTCTTTGTCTCTACAATTTGGAGAAGTGAATACGAGAACAATATCAAGCAGGCGAAGTATAGTCGGATTCCAGGCAAAAATGACAGGACAGGCTAATACCGAAGCTAAAATCTACCAATTGTTACAGTCATTCAGCAGGTTGAGTCACAGATCATGATCCATGAAAGATGAATAAATTGTTCCTTACTGAAAGAGAAGCAAGTCTGACATCATTTCTTTTAATAATTGAGATGCAACACCTTTTTTAGTTATGCAAGACAGAAAGCATCATTTATACATTGTCCACAGAGTAAGCAGTGCTATTGTAGCAAGCAGTTACTTTCTAGTATTAAATATAGAGCAAAACGTGAAATGCGGATAACAGTTTTCAAAATAATTGTGCCAATAAAAAGCAGAACAGATTAAAAAATCACAAACCCAAATCAGAAGAAAAAGAATAATTGAAGACAGTTCTGAACCTCTAAACATTTTGCCCCTCTCAATGCCTCAAAACACAAGGAAAATACAGAACTCTTCATTTCCGCTTCAACTATTTCACATTTTTGGCTGTTTTGATTAAATAAGTCTATGAGATCAGAAAACAAATGCTCTATATGCTCTATCAAAACCGTTAAAATATTCGCAGTCATAATCGAGATATTCAAAGAACTTTCGAAAAAGCTTGACATTTTGTGAAACTCAAAAATTGTTACATCAAATTTCTCAGAACTAGATCTGGGTACTGAGCAGGTAGAACTTTGTAGTTCTATAGTAGAGGGTTTTACGGCGCTCACAACTGCATAAGGTCATATGAGCGCCAAGGGGTGGATATCAACAGAGAAGTCTTTACAGGGAATCAGACTTACTCTGATCACCTCTCTAGCTTCAACAGCACAAGGTCTGCTTCGACTATCAAGGCACCCCAAAATAGCAGGTCACAAGAGAGTGACAATCATACAAAAGAAGTAGAGGAAAATGACAATAGTAAGGACCAGGAAAGAAAAAGCAGCAGTTCCCTGTTGTAGATCAGGCACAGTTATGAGTGTGACATGAGTCAGCCCATTTACAATTCTACTATGCTTGAACGAGAAATGTCCCCCTTTTGGGAATGGCCTAAAGACACTTCAGTCAGTGGCACTGCCCGGGGGGGGGGGGTTGTAATTCTGAGGTAGTGACTTGTCCCATGTCCATGGACAAGAACAAAGCCTGGACAATGTAGGTTACCTTCTGTTGTCTCCACTCCCGTCCCAGGACACAGACGTCACAGAGCTGCAGGTAGAGTCGTAGGCCAGGGAGGAGGAGGAGGAGGAGGACAAGAAGGAGTCTGACCCAAAACTGCTCAAGTTGGGGATTCTGGAGGCGGAGCTCCAGGCCACAGCTCCGGGGTACTCCGCTGTCTGCCGGCTGCTCTCGTCTCCCTCACGCTCCTCGTCCAGCTGGAACTTGACCGTCTTTGTAACAACCTCGCCTGCTGGCTTCAGCGCACCCGTGCCTTGACCAACTGGACTATTACTACCTGAGTTTGTTACTCGTATGGGTTTCAGGTTGGATGGAGGAAGTGGCGACTCTCTTTGACCTGGAGGAAGAGGTGATTCTCTTTGTTGACCTTTTTCAATAGCAGCACAGAAGCTAGGCCGCCGTAACTCTTCGGGTGATGTCTCGCCTGTACCGCAGACGTCCGCTGAAACGTTGCAGCCACTTTTCTCTCCAAACGAGCTGTCCATGCTAGAGAGCTGAGAAGACTGTTGACTGTTCTCCACGGCTGTCTTAAAGCTGGACCTGCGCGTGGCACTGAAAGAGTTATTGCAGTCATCCAGGGAGAGGCTTGTGTATGACTGGTTTGCCATGTTGCTGTACTGACCAGGACGCTCAGCCCATGTGTCGTCTCGGGAACTCCTGCCATTTGTAGACACACCAGAAACATAAACAGGGCTGGTGAAAGGAATCCCATTAGAGTAAGAGTATAAATCTCTGGAATTTCCAAGAGCCTTTTTGGCTGAGGCTTTGCTCAGGCCTGGATATCGGCCAGAGTTTCTGATAAAATCGGATCGTCTGTTGCTGCCGTACAAACTTCTCCGCTTCTTCGCAGGCAGTGGCAGAGTCTCAGAGTCAGGCCAAGAGTTGAGGCTGTGAGGGTCAGCGTTGTCCAGTGTGGACACCAGATTGTCCTGAGCTGTACCAGGGGGTAGACTGTTATTGTTCTCGCCATCAGCGATAGACACTCCTTTCTTTTGCTGCACGGAGATGGAGGGACAAGAAGCAGTGAACCTGAAGACGAAGGAAAGAAATTTATAAAAATAATAATAATAATAATAATAAAATAATGATAATGATAATGATCATAATCATAATTATTGCATTTATATAGCAATAACTTCACAAGTACTTCAAAAGAATCTTTGACAAGCTCAGCAGGTTGGGCAAGACAATACAAAAGATCCTGTTGTTCTTATTTTTGAAAACTCGAATAATATTTTGAATCATCACCTTGGACATAGATGATGTGAGCCCCACTGCTGTACAGTGACACTTATTCAACATTTCAAAGATTTTAATAATTTTCTCCATTCAGGTCATGTAAATGTGGGAAGAAAACAGCATCCTATCCCTGAAATTATTGGGGCTTTAAACCCATGCCAGAAATTCTTACTATATAACCAAGAAAAAAGCATTCAAGAAAGAAATTTTCAAACTACAACTGAAACTGTCTAAGATAGTCGTCATATTAGACAGGTGGCGGTCTTGCACAGAGTCATTATAATGTTGAAAAAAATAAAAGGGGAAAAATGGGAAGAGGCCGTTTGTAAAGGAGACTGTCTTATACATTTGGCCATTTGACTGTGTGCGACTGTATTAAATGTAACATAATATTTGCTTCTCAGGCATTTCACCTGACTTTCCTCATATCATCTTGCTAAATACATCAGAGTATGCAGCTAGAGCTGATCAGTGGGCTGTTATTCAGGCAGTATTTCTCATCTTTTCAAGCAGCATTTCCCATCTTTTCAAGCAGTATTTCTCATGTTTTCAGACACAGACCAGGATAAGGTACCAACCTGTGTTGTAGGATAAGGCGTGCGGCGCGGCACTCATAGCAGTCCACATCTTCACAGGAGACAGCGGTGGGGGACACGGCGTACTGACCCTGGTATCCTGGCAGGTTCCCATTGAACATGTCAATAGATAGCGCTTCTGGGAAAAAGAGAGACAAAGAAAGCAGATAGATTTTACGCACAAGGGTAGGTGAGGCTGAATACCTAATTTTCTTCAACAAGGATGAAAATCTTAAGCGGTCCAAAAAGCATGTCGCAACCCTGAAAAACACTTAAGCACGGAAAGAATGGAAAGCAGCAATTTTGTAAATGTCATCTCGCCAAGAAAGATTCTAAAACTTAACTCCTCATTTTTGTCAAGCCGCTCCCAGCAGCTTGCGATTGGAGCTGGTGAGCCGTTGCCAGAGGCTCTGGCACATACCGTTACAATGATTTTGACGTCAAATTACTTTTCGCAATTGCGTAAAAACAGTTATCTTTTAACGGGAAAACATTCATTTAGATGCACAATAAGTTCACTTGTTTTGATTTAATGACCAATTCAGTGACATATAGTAGTTTTAGATTTCACACCAAAACAGGGCCCTGGCTAGTGGGTTTAACCGCGTCAGAAATAAAAAATTAATCCACATTGAAAACAAAAGAAATTCTGGTAACTTGCTATTACAAATAACCAAGATGACTTCCAAAACCAATAAACGGCCTCCTCAAAGGTGAGTGGTTCGCCACTAAAGGAATACTTGGAGTATCTTACCAAGCAACGGTGAGCTGGGAGACAGTCGACGATTGCGCAGCCAAGAGGTGCAGTGGCTGGTGTGACTCACGTCAGAGCTCCAGGCAGTCGGTAGATTTAGCTTGCTCTTCCTCTGAAATTATGAACAAATAAGAAGGGTGGACATACAGTATAACACGGATAGCTCAAATTCGTCCGGATCGGCCTCAGAAGTTCCAAGGATCCGCAGTTCGAGGGATATCTTTCAAAGATACAGAAGAAAGAAAAAAAAATGGGACCGCAGGCACAGTTCGACAGATGCTTTATTTCACATCTTTTGTGTTTGACCTATCCGCATTATACTGTTATACTGTATATAGGTAGGCCTATGTCATATTATCTATCAGGCTGAAAGTATGGCAAAATAGTATTGTTCTAGAAAAACTTTGATATAGTAACTCATAAAGTGGTCTGAAATGTTCAAAAGGACAATTATCAACGGCTTGTCTCATCTAATATAATAAGTGAATGGTGCGTGTTCGTGTGTGTGTGTAAGTGCATGTTCACTTGCGCTTGCAAATGTGTGTGTTTATACATGTGTGGGTATGTGCATTTATTTTTAAAAACATAATTTTTCAAAAGAAAGGCTCACAAGTCTGCCCATTAAAGAAATAAGAACACATGTAAAAGGGTACCCAATCAATAAAACTAAAGTAAGGAAATAATATGACAGGACATACACAAAAACTACAGTAAGGAAATAGTACGACAGGACATACACAAAAAGCAAGCAAAACAAAAAAGAAACCCAAGAATGACAACAAAAAGAAAACATAATTATCGTTGCTTTTTTCAGCATTAGACTGTCCCCGTGGTTTTACGCACCCTGCATAATTTAGCAATATTGTATCATTTTTTGAATAATTTCTAATTATTTTCCTTTATAATTCTTTGTTAAAATTTACAGAATCACAAAACTTCACATTTTTGGGCTCAGGTTGCATAATTTCAGAATTTTTCTCGCATAAAACAACGGGGACAGATTAGAACAAGTAAATCCAGCGATTACCAGCAAGCCCAGAGCAGTCTCTCGTCTCTCAAGTTTCTGACGAATCGCGTCAATGTCCTGTTTGATCTTTGCCTTCAGCTGCTCTGGCGATGCAGTACCGAGCACATCATCCTGCAGAAAACAGAGGTTGTGAGTCACAGATACATTTGGAAAGTAAGCTCTTATAACAATGTTAAACCACTGATTTTGTTCTATGTTCCCATTAACATAAATTATTGATATAAGATAAGGGTTTGTTTTATTTTATTTTTATTTTTAATTTTAGTAAGTTTTTACGGCACTTGCATTACAATAACGTCATATAATATGTGCCAAATATTTGAGCTGTTACAAGAGAGTAACAGACACAAAAAAGGAGGAAAGATTAGATAAGAAAGAAGGAGCAAACTACACCAGAGCATCCAACAACAACCCACTAAGAAAGGGGCAAAATCAGCCCTGTCCATGAAGAACAACTACAGAAGTACATCACAGCAAAAAGACACAGACAAGAGTTTCATAAGATTACCTCTTTCACTACATGAAATATACTCTGCAATCTTACCAAAGAACCCACAATTAACAGTCTCTGGAAGAGCAGTAAGGATGTAAATTTGAATTCTGTCTTGTCAAAGATTGTCATTACAATCAGAACACAACATCATGATATTCTATAGAAGTAGGAGTACAACAGTCAGTTAAACAAAAAAAGATCTATGAATAAACCAGAGCGGCTTTAAGTTCTGGTCAGAACGAAGAAGAAGGAAGTAGGAAACAGACACACAGATGTGAATGTTTCTTATATTTATGAGAGTGCAGGTGTTTATGGACAATGTTTCACTAAAACAATGGGGGGAGGGGGGGAGTCGTTCTGCTGCAATGGGCCCAATTATTTCTGCTCAGCTCTCTTGGGATCCGATGGGGCCTGAAGAAAAGAGATGCACGCTTGGAAGTGCACATTTGTGTGTGTGTTTGTGTGTGTGTTTGTGTGTG